TGTGTGTGTGTGTGTGTGTGTGTGTGTGTGTGTGTGTGTGTGTGTGTGTGTGTGTGTGTTTGGCACGGTGATTAAGGATTTTGGGGAGTGTGTGTGGAGCATCACATGACACAGGAGTGGACAGTGTTTTATAAAGTACCTCAAAGTGATACTTGAGTAAAAGTACACGTATCTTATCATAAAAAGACTTTGGTCAAAGTTAAAGTCTCCTTTAAAATAATACTTGAGTAAAAGTCTTAAATGACCTGATATTTTTGTATCACAAAAGTAAATTTCTGACACAAAATCAGAAAACCACAAAATTGTGGTTTTTCTAATGTTTATACTTTGCAAAATATTTAATATTATTTACAGTATTTTCTCTCAGAAACACAAGAATCTCTTCAGTTCCTTGAAAACAATTATCTCTGAACGTCTAAACTTTGGCAAACTCACTTTGTTTTTGTCGTCTTATGCTACTTTTGCATTTTAGCTAACCATTTGCTACTTTGAGCTAGCATTTTCTTGGTTTTAGCTAGCATTGCCCTTTTAGCTAACCTTTTGCTACTTTTAGAAAACTTCTTGTTATGTTTTTCTAACCTTTTGCTACATTTTAGCTAGCATTTGCTACTTTTAGCAAACATGTAGCTACTTTTAGCTAGAAAATTGCTACTTTTAGCTAACTTCTTGTTATGTTTATCTAACCTTTTGCTAACTTTTTGTTAACATTTTCTATTAGCAAAAATATAGCTACTTTTAGCTAACATTTTGCTGCTTTTAGTTAGTGCTCTTAGGACAAATGTAACTACTTTTAGCTAACTTCTTGTTTTATTTATCTAACCTTTTGCTACATTTTAGCTAACATTTGCTACTTTTACCAAAAATGTAGCTACGTCTTGCTGCTTTTAGGTTTACTTGTACCTCTTGCTACAGTGTCTAACCTTTTGGTACATTTTGCCACCATTTTTCTACTTTTATGTGTTTCTTTTTTATCAGTTTTGTCTTTCAGCAAATGTTCTACTCCTTAAAGCTTCAACAAATTTGAGCAAAAACAGTTAGAATTCAACATTAATGCTACATTTTAACAAAAAAAAAAAAAAACACATGATCTGGTTTCCTCTTGATTTCCTCACACGTCTCCTGTGTCTCTGTGTGTGTCCTCCTCCTCCTCCTCCTCCTCCTCCTCACCTGTCTCCCTCTCCCAGTATGCGGGACGTACCCCGGTCTGAGGCGCAGGGAGGCGGCCCCTACCCCCATGCTGTTCCCCTGTCCTTCCTGTCAGCAGGACGTGGAGCTCGGGGAGAAAGGACTCACAGACTGCTTTCGTAACCTCACTCTGGAGCGCGTCGTTGAAAGGTTCACACGTACAAAATAAAAACATAAAATAAAAGCACAACGCTGTAATGTGTGGAAACTGTTTTATTGGATTCTCAGTTGGAGAGCCTTAAACAACAACCGTAAAGCGTTAAGAAAAGGCAGCGAGTAACGAGCTAAATCCATACAGAGACAGGAAATCGTTTGTTTCCATAATGAGTCTGTTTTACTCCTGGAACTGGGTCGGAGTGATGTCAGCAGTTTATCAGTGTGACGCTGCGTGTTTTAGCGATGCAGACTCTCTAACTGATGTTTCCAGGTCAGGCTGGGTGTTAGACTGCACAGAGACTTCAGCTCAGCCTTTTTTCAACAGATTTGTTTTTATTTCCGGCGCTGCAGGTTTTCCTGACAGTTGTCCTCCATCTTCCTCTTCAGGTACCGGCAGAGCATCAGTCTGGGCAGCGTGGCGATCATGTGTGGTTTCTGTAAACCTCCTCAGTCTCTGGAGGCCACGAAGGGCTGCGCCAACTGCAAGACGAACTTCTGCAACGAGTGCTTCAAACTCTACCACCCCTGGGGGACGCCTCGAGCCCAGCACGAGCACATCCTCCCCACCAGCAGCTTCAGACCCAAGGTTCTGACTGCAGCTTCTGGGCTCGGCCCGCAGCAGGTGTTTACTTCGGTCCGTTTTGTGTTTCAGGTCCTCACGTGCACGGAGCACGAGCAGGAGAGGCTGCAGTGGTACTGTCGGAACTGCCAGAGGCTGCTGTGTCCGTTCTGTAAGCTCCGCCGGGTCCACCACGGGCACAAGGTGTTACCTGTGGCGCAGGCCTACCAGGCCCTGAAGGTCAGAGAGTCTGAGCCGGTTCATGTTGGAGACCTGCAGCGACGTGACGCAGAAACTCACCTCTGACTTTCCACAGGACAAGATCAACAGAGAGGTCGGCTTCATCCTGGCCAATCAGGAGACGATACAGAGTCAGATCAGTCAGCTGGAAGCTGCCATTAAACAGATGGAGGTGAAGAAACTTTACATCACCTTTAAAAGTTCCTGTGACATTTATATCCTTCACATACAAGAAGTCAAAGAAAACATCTTTATACTGAAGAAAATTGGCATAATACACATGATTTTACCCATTTTGTCACATAACTGGCCTATTTTCTTTTGAATTTGGCTCAGTAAAAGTGAAACAGGAAGTGACATCAAAGGGGAACTCTTTAATAAAACTAGAAGCACTCGGAGAGCACAAACCTGCGCCAAGACCGATTTCCCCCGTCCTGTAATAGAGTTACAAAGGGGCACACCAATACTACAGTGCCACCTGCTGGACTCTTTGAAACCCACGCCCTGTGAAAGCATCACAGCTTTGCCAATGTCAGAGTGTTAAAAGAAAAAAAATTCCTGTATCCGCATCGTGATCCAGAACATCACCAACATTTAAAGGTGTGTTCCTTGGCCCAGTACACACATGTGGTAAAAATGTCATGACAATCTGTCCACAAGTTTTTGAGTAATGTTGTCCACAGACAGAACGAAAGACAGACAGACAGACAGACAGACAGACAGACAGACAGAACGACAGACAGACAGTCAGACAGACAGAACGACAGACAGACAGACAGACAGAACGACAGACAGACAGT